GTTCCTTATTAAATGTTTAAATAGATGCTTAAAACTACACTTTCTATAGAATATCATTATAATGAAACTTAAAAAATATTTACTATTTACATTTTTTCAAATATTTATGTAATTCAATTTAATATTTTATCGTTAATCGAATTAATAACATATTAAAATCAGCTTGTAATTAAATCAATAATTTTTGTTATTCTATTTATATAATAAATTTTTTCATATAAACTGTTTAATATATTAAAATGCTACATTATAGTATTTAGAATTAATTGTATTTTCCAGCTTTAGAAACATCTAAAAATGAAATTATTATCGGAACACTTTTATTGAATCATTTACAATTTCTGCAATTTAATGCACATGAAATATTTGAAACAAGTAAAAAAAATTCTGAATTATTTTATACAGACAATCAAATTTATATAGGTGCAGGAATTTATTTAAATGCTGCCAGATTTAATCATGAATGCTATTCTGCTACTGTCAGGTAATTATTTCAAATTAAATAGTAATACATTACGAAAAATAAATCATAAAACAATATGTTATTACTATGACAATATAAGACATTGTAAAAAGTATTAGTAAAAAAATTAAAAACCATATTCTCAAACACTTGCGCTAGAGATTATTCAAATTTTCAAATTTTCTTTTATTAAATTTTTTTAAATTAATCCAGAACGGAGAATTACTATTTAAATTCTTAATACATGTGTTATAAAATTATATATAAGGTAAATCATGTAATATTATGCGTGTTATATATATAACACGAATTTGGCTGAGTATTTTAAACAAATCTTATTGGTTTATATCATAAGTATTATATTAATATAGATTATAATTAACCAAAGTACTGTAATCTATCTTACTATAAAGTTTTTCAATTATTATTGAGGCAGTATTTAATGATGAATAAAAACTTTAACATGTTAATATGTAACTGTTTGAATTTAGTGGTGTAATTCTTGGCTCGAACTGTCGAAAGGACCTATGAGGACCTACCCCCCTTTCCGCTGTCTATAAGTTGTCATGCTGTCGCCAGATGCGTCAGCAGCTACGAGAGCTCTTCATGCCGCAAAGATCAAGAGACGACTACAATCCGCATATCAGAGTCCGAAGACGCTGGCAGTTTCCTATTAACGTAGTTTAACATAGCTATTGTTACAAATCCTATTGGCGGGAGATGAATTACCTTATCGAAGTCCAAACGCGTTGGAAGTTTCCTATTAACGTAGTTCAACACAGCTAGCGTTACAAGTCATATAGGCAAACGACACATTCCAACGACAAGTGTCCAGTGACATGTCCCCTTGAAGAAAGAACAAAGTAATATTATTATTACAATAATTACATACACTGAAATTCAGAGATTATAACATCGACAAGCAACTAAGGGCGAAGAAGCTCTCGCTAGAGCAACAGTGTGGAATAGATTCCAGTACGCGTCGTCAAGTTCAAGCCCACTAAAAGGCGTCTTATCGGCAACCCTCTCCTTAGTTCAAGCTCGGACGCTTATGAACTTAAGCAACAAACAGCGCGAGTGTCGACGAATTAAACTTCACGCCATTCTGCGGTCAAATTCAATCATCACGCTACAACCATAACCTCAACTACGCACGCGGTCATTCAAACAGCGCGAGTGTCGATGAATCAAACTTCGCGCCATTCTGCGATCAAATTCACCCATTACGATGCATAGGTGAGTGTGTACATTAATCCACCACGAGAAGTATTTCCATAATTAATAATAGTAACACTAGTCAACCTTGTCATCAATAAACAACAAAATAAACAGCATATGTATCAGCCACATTTATATTGTATTATTATAATATCCCGTCCACTTGTGATCTTTCATCGCTACCACACAACACCCGTGGTCTCTGAGTTGTCGACGGCATCAATTTGTATCCTTCGAACCGGCCTTGGTAGAACAAGCCGGAACGGTGAATACATTTTGTAGAGTGAAATAATGTTAATGGTTGTGTTGTATCGGTTTTACCGCCGGCTGGCAATAACTGAGTAGATAACGTGGATTTGTGTACTCACAGCGATATCGTAGTTTTGATCCGATCCAGGGGTGAGTGGGTCACCAGGGCACGCGGCAAAGCAAATGCGTGCAGGATGACTCTTATACTCACAGGGATGCAGTAGACTTGGTCTGGTCAATGGGTCTTCGCAATATACTTGTCTCTAATTTATTAACACGTACTATTGCGTTGCATTCTCTTGAGACTTGGCTTTTATAGACAAAAAGTCTCTATTACTTGACTTTCCCTTGAGATAGACTTGATTGCCACGCGAGACGTTTTCTCGAATTCTCTCTATGAACAGCGACCTCCGCTATCTTGTCCCAACCTTTAAAGCCTCTTGCCATGAGTCCCCACTCAAGGAACTTCTGGTTTTAGGTTTCCAATCAGAGCGCGCCGCTTTTCGGCGATATGCTAATTGTGCATGCCCTTTTCCCACTTCCGAGGAAATTAGGCGTGGACAAGGAGAATGTCGTAAAAGCATTACTGGCGGCAACGCCTAAAGTGGACGATTTGCCCCTCTCCGGGACTCATCGTAGTGGGATTTGATTCTTGGTCAAGCGTCTTCGTCTAGCCGATGCAAGCGGCAATATTTGGCATACTTGACAACAATGCATGATATTCTGGTAAGATTGAAGGCACACGTGCGACGTAAATTATCGGGCGTCGTACGTGGCTAGTTTCGGATTGCAATGAATTTCAAGAAATGTTTTTCGCTCGATTGTTTTCAAGTATTTTAATCCTCAAATATTTTCGAGTAAACAGTGTTGCCGGGTTTGATGGTAAGTCGTAAGGGTTGTTTATTGTATTAAAAACAATTACTACGTCTGTAGATCGAAGAGCAATAAAGTAGATGTTTACGAGTATGTTCCAGATGTACAAACCTTTTCGAGGCTCTAGCAACCTTGGCGAGTCTTTCTTAGATTTTATGTCTGTTCGATAATTTCTTATTATAATAACTGTTGAAAGTTTTCTGATGAATATAATTCGAGAGATTTTCTTTTCACTCTCGAACAGGATGTTATAATCAATAACTGCAATATGTAATTATTGTACAGTGATTGTGGGTCTTAAGCATTTGTATAAACTAATAATCGTATTTAGAAAAGTCAGAATGAATAATTTGATTGAATAAAAGTTGTTTAATAGATAACAAATTTAAATATATGATTTAATTTAAATTAATTTTAATATGGTTAAATGATAGATAAACAAATAATACAAAAACATGCTGAATAGAAAATGAAGATTTAAAATAATATTAAAAGAAACTTAGAAAAATTCAAATTATTTAATTTTGGAGTTATATTTATTTCTTAAACTTAAATTGTTTCACATGATGGCAAAGACTTTGGAATGATCTCGAGGTCGAGCCCATTTCTCCATCTAATGTGATTGTAATATATTGTTCAAAAATTAATTCCACTAATCCGACTCGTCAGCCAAACGTGTAAAATTAACTTGGAAAAAGCCACTAGATGTTGTGTGGGAGAATGCGTGGGCAAATGAACGGTTAATGCACTGATTCAATAATTAACATATATAATTTTTTCTGCTGTTTATTCCATTTTTTCAATTTATTTCCAAGTCGGGATGATTAATCGTGATGAGATTACAAATGACCTTTATATTTCTTAAGATTCATGTGGCGTTGTGATATACTGTTATTGAAGAACTAGATGATGATCAATTCCTTATTCTCTGGATGCAACTGGTGAGATTATGATTTACTGTGAAAAGAAATAGATTATAATATATTGAATATTATCACTTGAGGAGTTATAATCGTTTGTTGTGCTCTAACCGAACACTACAATCTTGGTCGTGTTGTAACTTAACTCGTCTTGCAGTTGCCTCTGAATAATGGGCCGTGTGAGTGAGCACGTACCTAAAATAGAGGTTATGCTCGTTGTAGTGCTCTGACCGAACACTACAATCTTGGTCGTGTTGTAACTCAACAAGTCTTACAGTTGCCTCTGAATAATAAACCGTGTGAGTGAGTACGTGCCTAAAATAGAGGTTAGAGTAACTGTGCGCCACCAGTGTGGCGTCAAAAGCTGGTCTTGCTTCTTAAGCATGCGTGGGAAGCTTCCGTGGTCGGACTACCGGCAGTCCGTTTTTAGAGTAAGCCGTGAGGTGAACAAGGAGCACTAACGGTTAGGACTTACTTGCAGTTGTAGAGTGAGGCTCCCAGTTCCTCCTCACAGGCTTGATGAGAAGTTCCCTTCCAATAATTGCGGCTCTTAACTTCTTTCTTGTCTCCTACCGAGATGACAAAAAACTCAGTACATATGCTATCAGAGTATGATGAGACCAATGATAACTGTATATTGAATCATAGTCGTAGAAAGACAGTTCACAAGACTCAGCTGACCGACTTGTCTCTGGTCCTCCACCAGAGAATAAGTCGTGACTTATCTGTTCAATAAGAATAAGTGGCGGTACATTACATTGTCTTTCTTAAATAGTTCACTGACACACTTTCACTTGGGATCCCTTCTTCTTTCCGGTATCCAATCAGAGGTTGACTTTGGGTAGCACGATGGATCATGCACGCCTTCATTTCCACTTCCTTCCTGGCTCAGTCCCGAATATGCTAGTCGGGAAAGTGTCGGAAAGGGGGGAGCTTTTACTATTGGTCGCCTTCTCACTTCTCTGGGTCTTGGCTAGATGAAGGCGTCGTCGATTCTCCAATGTGATCGACAAGATGCGGCGTAGTTAGGAACAATGCAAGCATTGTCTTATAAAGCCGAGTGCGCACGTACGCCTATTTTGGATTCCAGTGAAATTTAGGAAATGTTTGTACTCGATAGTTTTCGTATATCTGATAGTTTTTCAGAATCTACGTAATGGTTGCAGTAAACAACAAAATAGTTTAACTGCACCGGAAACGCATGAACAAGTTTTTAGATAAGTTAGATTAAATATAATAAATATAATTTATATAAATAAATAAATATTGCCGTACCAGGCCGGCATGATGTAATGAGTGCACAGGTGGTACGCTTCTTATTTCGTATTCACTCTTGGAATGCAATCAGTATTCTTGACTGCTTGAACTATGGCGCGCTTAAGTAGTTGTTAAACGTATTGGCTTCACCGTTAGCTTACTATCTTATTGTTGCAGAGTCTGGCTGAATTATGTGCGTATATTTAGTAAAAGTGACTGACTTGTATAAGGCGGAGTTTAGTTGTCGTGTAGAGTAATAACTGATAACGGATTGATTCAGAAATTTACAGTGAGCCTACAAACCTGTTAAATACGCGCACGAAACTGAAGGCTTAGTCGTTCCATGGCGGCTCTACTAAGATATATCGACTATTATCCGTCCCATGGCGTCTTTACTGAGAGAGAGAGAGAGAGAGAGATAGAGTGTGTGTGTGTGTGTGTGTGTGTGTGTGTGTGTGTGCGCGCGGCTCGTCGCGTGCTTCCTTTGAATTTCTGCACAGCAGTTTACTTATCTGGCAATAATGCATAGGTGTTGCTATGCCGAAAGTCATAATGACGTCAGAATCCAAGCTCTAGAAATCTCTTCCAGAAAGACAAGTTTTAGAATGTTCGAGAATTTCCGATCGTCGTTGCTATGCAGAAATATTGCAGCACAGTTAAAAATAAGGCGTAGAATATTCGGGAATTCGCCGAATATATGTTTACAAACATAAGCGTCAAAAGGCTTGTACTTTTCCCATTTAAAGTTCTTGGAAATTGCTCAAATTCCGAACAATGCAGATGTCATTATGCTGCAATCCAAACGATTTTGTTTCACTAAATTTATTCATTTTAATACCAGTTATAGTAATTCATTCCTACCTTCTATAAGTGAGTAAATTGTTTTCAAATTAAATTAATTTTATTGAGAAAGTAAATGATTTTTTAGTTTTTTAATTACGTATCTATCAAATAAAATGCTTGTAATATTTTATAAAGAAAGCGTAATAATATTTTAAACAATTGCATTTAATTTGTGATGCATTCGACAATTTTATTAAAACTGTTCAATTTTTTTATGATTCTAAAATATGTTAATTGTATTTTAGATGATTCGTAATTTTTCATTATTGTTTACTGTATCTAAATGTTTTGAATTCATAAAAAATATAAGGAATTATTAAAAAACAATATATAGAAATGGCTTAGAATATTAAATGATTAAAGTATGCGATGTACATGATATGTACCATATTACTATGTGTTACGGATTGCAGCATTTTACGCGCTAAACAAAGTGGGAGAAGTAAAGACACCTGCTTAGGTCAAAATATTGCGCGCCAAGTCGTAAACACGATTCTCCGAAATCGGAAAATTTCAATGCTCAAATAGTCGAAATTTCATTACAATTCCGACTAACAAGGGCCGACGAACTCTCCAAGACTAGATTCTAGTGACGTCACTCTAACTATCAGCATGACAAGAGTAAACTAGAATTCACTGGAATCGCAAACCTGTACTATAATATTTAAGGAGACGCGTTTGACGCTCTCGCCCTCTTACTAGTTCAATCAAGCAGTCATCAAGATCGGATCGTCGTCCTACAAATCGACTACATTCAACGGAAGCCAAGCTCACGGCCATCTACCGCCATCTACACGGATCGACCTCAACACGTAAGTTACGCTATTACACACGTTCTTACGTACCATCAATGCAATGAGATCGACTCCACACGTAAGCTACGCTATTACACACGTTCTTACGAATCACTAATACACGACTCCGTCAACTAAGTAAGCAGCAATACTAATAAACGGCTCACGGTACGAGGACTACTCCCACACGTCAAGCAGTAACGTGACACGGATATCCTCCTTCCACTAAACCATTACAGAGTACAAGTCACTAGACAACGGCATCATCACCGTTCCCCAGCAGGGACGTCACACAGGTGCCGTCCACTAAGCCACTACAGCATGCAAGTCGCTAGACAACGGCATCACTGCCCCTCATCAGTGACGTTACACAGGCGCACCCACACAGGCCGCTACAGCTCGTAGGCAGAGGCAAAGCCGGCCCCTTACAGCGCGACTCTTGCCACGGCACCAATGCTGACCCTTACAACGAAAATCTCCCGCTACCACTGCGAGTTCATAACTACGAGTAGGAGAGCACCAAGCCATCAAGAATATACTTACAGGATTCTTGTCGCTCATATTAATTGAAGAAATTTTCATCCATTCATAGTATCATACATTCAATCCTACATCAATAGACCACTGACTATTCATTATACATATTATATTCAATAAAAGGAAAACCACTACATTCAAAGGCAGTGTTGAATTATTGCATTGTCCATTCCACTTGCCAGCAAGCCTCCACATACAATCTCAGAGAGGCTTTTAGTCTGATCCCAGACACTATGCTTTTAGTATAAAATTTTGTACTAATTTAAAATTATGAAAATAAATAATAAATTTGATATTTAACTTCTTAAACATATAGCTTCAATTTTTTAAAATAATCGAGTATATATTTATAAATACAAATCAACAATAAATAATACTTATAAATTAATATAATAAAAATAAAGCCAGGGTTAGACTAGGTCTTGCAAGTTTTGATTCACTTTTAATAAAGCAAAAGTTATTTTTTATATCATAATTTGTTCGGTTTTAAAGGGTTAGCTTATGGCTCGAACTGCCAATTCAATAGTTCAGTGGATTAGTCTCTCGGCAGGATAATTTTAAAGGAAATCAATAACGGACAAGGCTGAAAAATATAATATATTTATTTAAAAACAAGGTTAATGAGTGTAAACAATTATTATAATATTGCACTGTTGTGTAGAAATAAATAATT